TTTTTTTTTAATTAGCTAAAAACTCAACGTAGTGTACGTACTGTAAAACGTCTTTTTCAAAAATGTCATCACTTTTTTCAAATCCTTATACAGTGACATACACCTCCCGAGCTATCTGTATTAATGGGTGGCCTAAATTATTACTAGCTGGGTGTATTCATTACCCACGTAGTACTCCTGCAATGTGGCCTTCATTACTTCGTAAAGCCAAAGTAGGTGGAATAAACGTTATCCAAACTTATGTTTTTTGGAATTTACATGAACCGGTACGTGGAACTTATGATTTTGCTACCGATTCGGCCAATTTACCTTATTTTATTCAACTATGCAAAGAGCTTGATCTATATGTATCTTTACGAATTGGTCCTTACGTCTGTGCTGAATGGAATTTTGGTGGGTTTCCTGTTTGGCTGAAACATTTACCGGGTGTAGAATTACGTACATATAATGAAATTTATTTACAAGAAATGAAACGATTTGTTAGTAAAGTAGTTGATGTTGTACGTCCTTATTTTCCTGACAAAGCTGGTCCAATTATCTTATTACAAATTGAAAATGAATATGGTAACATAGCTTATGCTTATGGTAAAGATGGCATAAAGTATGTTGAAGAATGTGGTCGTTTCGTAAATGATATGAATCTTTCGGCATTATGGTTTATGTGTCGTCAATATAGTCATGTTCCGGGTATAATTCATACGATAAATGATTACTATTGTCATCAATATTTTGAGAATATTCGCAAAGAATTTCCTTCTGCTCCAATGATGTGGACTGAAGATTGGCCTGGTTGGCCACAAGAATTTGGTGAAGCTAAACCAACTCGTCCTGCTCAAGATGTAACTTACGCTGTGGCATATTGGTTTGCTAAAGGTGGTTGTTATCATGCATATTACATGTATCATGGCGGCACGACTTTTGGCCGTTGGGGTGGTGGGCCACGTCATACAACATCTTACGACTATGATACTATGTTGGATGAATATGGATTAGAACATTATCCTAAATATCATCATACTAAACGATTGCATGACATTCTTTTTAAATTTGAAGATATATTAATGAGAAATCCTATTCCTACTGCAAAGATATTGGATGAGAAAGTGGAAGCATATGTTTATGGAAATATTAATTTTACAAAATCGCTTATTTTCTTGTGTAATGCTGATGAAAAAAGTGCAAAACAAATAGAATTTAGCAATGTTCTGTGGGATCTTCCTAAATGGTCAATTAGTATAATACTGGGTGACGATTGTTCGTTCACACTTTTGATGAATACAGCAATCATTGAACCACCAAAAGAGTCTCCTGATCGATTAGTTTTTAGACCACTTCCTGCAAGTGTTATTGATTTTGAATCGTTTGCTTGGTTATTAGAACCTATTCCACTTTTTACAGATGCATGTGACAAAAGAACACCACGTCCTCCACCACAAATTGCAACTACCCAAGATACCACCGATTATATGTGGTACGTGACGCAATTAGTAATCAAGAATGATGAAAACGAGGGGAATCAAACACCATCTAAATTTAATCTTAGGTTACATAATATTGGTGATGTTGGTGTTGTTTATGTGGACGGAAAAGTGCAATCAGTACATAGAGGTGGAAATCAAGTAGATATACCATTGAACCTTGATTGTACGAGTAAAGTAAATAATGATATCTCTGATATAGACAGTAGCAAGCAACACGTATTTACATTACAAATCTTAAATTGCCTGATGGGGTTACCACATATTATGACTTTCATGGAAAGATACGAACAAGGACTCCTAGGAGATGTGTATTTAGATGATAAAAACATTACTCATATAGGTTGGCAGGTCAACATTGGGCTTGTTGGTGAAAAAAAATGCTATTTTGATCCTTCTACACATTGTACCCTTCCATGGAATAAATTGAGTAGTGAATCTTTGTCCACAATTACAGATCAGGATATATTTTGTCAACGCACTTTATTAGATATGCAAAAAAAATATACCGACTTAACCATGCAATTACCTGTTCAGGTGGGTCTCGTGTGGTACACCTTCCACTTTACTTTACCTAAAGAATATTATGATATTTCTCGTACCGAAGATACACTTCCCCCGATCGCGCTTGATCTTACATCGATGACAAAGGGTAACGTGTGGGTTAATGGCCGACATCTTGGACGATATTGGTTAGAACTTGCTACACGTCCCACAGATCCACGTGCACGGAATGATCAAGACTATGCTGGGTGGTATAATCCACATACAAAGTGTCGAGTAGGATATGAAATGCCATCGCAACAGTATTATCATATTCCCTTAGAATGGATAAAGCGAGATGGAGACCATAAAAATTGTGTAGTATTATTTGAGGAATGGGGTGGCGATCCTCGAGGAATTCGCATAGTACAGCGTGTAACATGTAAGATATGTGAACATAATAAAATTTGTATTCATAGAATGCGTTGACTAAGATGGGAAAAATAATGAAAAAAAGGCTTCTTTTTAATTGTTACTTTTAATATACCGTATAACCGTGAAATAACGCCCAGGCGAATCATTTTGAAGTTTGGCACGAATTAAGCCTAATTTAGTCTGTAAATCGCAATTACACCCATGCGCGTTATTTCGCGGTATCCTTTATTTAGTAATAAATATATAAAAAATTATAGTACATTTTTTAGCTTGTTTTTGAAAATTTGTATCACTTGGTAGTCGTTATCGTTTTTTAACATTTCAAAAAGAAAGTTTGTGATTTCAACAATGGATGGTTCGTGATTTAAATTGAGAGTGAGTTTAGCGAGTGGATTCTTAATTTCAGCAATAGAAAAAGCTCACGATTTTAGTATTGAAAAAATAGCAATCTTAATTATAGATGGTAAACCCGTAATTTTAACAGAGTTAGTTATCTCAATACGTAATAAGTAGGTTTATGATTTCAAAAGTGAGTGGACTCGTAATTTAATGGTAGGTAGGCTAGTGATTTAAAATTCAAGTTCTGAACATGGAGCCAAACAAGTGTATGTATTTGAAAAAGTGTGCACTTACAACGAGTGCGCTTATAAAGATGCTGCCATATATTTTTTTAAAGCTATTGTAATGGATTAATTTTATTATTTCACGGGTCTTATGTAACAACCCGTGCTTTTTTCATTTGGTTATTGCACGGGATTGTACGTCAGACACCATGAAATAATATATTTATTGTATGGGTATATGAATAACCCGTGGCCTTCGGCCACGGTTGTTCACTACATACCCATACAATAATAAAATAAGTATTGATCTTTTTTGATGTATAGCTAAATTTGTATCGTGATTGTTAAACCCCTCGTGTGCATATTAACATGAGAATAATAAGATAGCATGGTCCTTCTGAAGTCATAAAATAGGTTCCAAAATGTGTTCTCTTTCATATGGATAAAAATGTACCGTAAATTCTCAAAATAGTCGGCATGGGCGTTATTTTGAGTTTTGGCCCGAATTAAGCTTAATTTAGCAAGTTTCGTAATTCACCCCAGAGCGTTATTTACGGTATAAAAAGTGAAGCATTTATTTAATAAACAAAGAACCTAGTTTCCGTCATAAAGTAGCATATTCATAATGATTTTCTCTTATTAAGCTCACAACGTCATTAAGTCGCCCTTATAGAATTACTAAGCCCTATAAAAATCTTGTAGCATTCAATCGACATAACTTCTATTGATGGTTTGTGCTTTATGTGAACCAACCATTAGGGGCTTCCACTTATTATGTAATTATAACCCCCCGGGATTGTTAATTGACCATTTCCAAGAGTCCCAGAGTCAGCCATTTGATGATTACAAAAATTAAAGTAATTAATAAAATAATTATATAAATTTTGCATATTTTATAGCCCCTTACATATTTTTATACACTCCTTGTATAATTATGCATAATTATATATAATTATGCATTATTATGTATAATCATGCATATTTATGCATATTTTGAAAGGGTGAATAAAAATATGCAAGGATTATAAAATATACAAAATTTATATAATTATTTTATTAATTACTTTAATTTTTGTAATCATCAAATAACTAACTTTGGGACTCTTGAAAATGGTCAATTGACAATCCCAGGAGAGGATTATAATTACATAATAAGTGGAAGCCTCCTTACACTATTTATATAAATTTATATTAATATATATTATCTAAAGATTGAAATAAAATTAAAATAGACATAAATTACTAACTTTTTTCAATAATCACTTGTACCAAATTTTCTCTAAAAATAATCATCTATTCTCTAAATTTTACTAAGTAAAACTACTTTGGTCACTTATATAAAACTGTTTTACAGTAAATTTTATATATAGGTGACCTAGTTTCAAACTTTTAAAGCTCTTTTTTACAAAATTATAACTAATTTCTTAAATTTTACTTCAACTGGCAAAACTCAAAATTCTATTAAATCAATATTCAAAGTTCCTTAATACAAAAAGATTTAGCTTATCAATAGCTTCATTTTGATATATAATATACTATAAACAAACTAAATTGACAAAACTACAACCAAAATAATTTCAAACTCTATTATAAAAACTATATCTAATTTTTACATTTTTTAGGAATTCCTGTCTCTCTAGGACATTCAAGATCTGCAAATCAATATTACCAATCAATATTACTAATCAATTTACACAACTCCAATATTTATTTCATCTATTTTTATATAAATTTAGTTTTACTTTTTTGGTTTTAGTAAATTTATACAAACTTTATTCTATTGATACACAAGTTATATTATTATATTTGGTTATATCAAGCCACAATAGCCACACTAGCTATATTTATTATATATATTTAAATTTTTAGTTATACAAGATTACACAAGGTTACATATAAAGTCACACCAGCTGCTCTTTAAATAACCTCTATTATTTATATACTTTTAATCCCTAACTTATAAATTTTATACCCCAAAAAGAACTTCAAAATTTAACTACTATTTTAACTTTTTACTATCATTTTAACTCTTACAAAAACTTAAAATAACTTCTATAACAAATACAAAATTTACAAAAACTAACTATCAAACATACTTATAATCTTCTTTAAATAATATCTCAATGTAGATTTCCTTACTATTCATCTAAATATGACTCAACTAGCTTATTTAATAATACTTTTGACTGGTTTTAAACCTTTTCAATTAACACTGAAGCAGAAAAACAAACTCAATTCTAACATCTCTTGGTATTCAAATTCTTAACTTTATTAAACTATTTCTTTTAAATTTTTATTCTGGTCAAATTATTTAACCTAAAGCTCCAAATCAACAAGCTACTAAAAGCAGCTTTAATGATTTATTACAATATATAGCTTTTCAACAATCACAATTTCTTACTGATTTTATTTACCAAAATATAGTTAATAACAACAATACCAATATATTATCTAATTACCTCTTATTTATTTTCAGAGATATCTTATCCAATTTTACTACTATTCTTTTTACAAAACTCAATTATAAAAAAATATTTCACTTAAATTATTTTTTATCTTTTTATTCTATTCTCAAATGTTCTCAAATTGCAATTAATCTTGCTTATCTATATCTTTTTCTTCTAAATCAATACAAAACTATTAACTATATTAAATTTTTTGAAAATTTGAATTTTAAACCTATTTATATGTTACTCTATTTTAATAGTATATTTAATAATTTTGATCAATTACTCCTTAAAATTAAAAATAATACCAAATACAATATTTATATTACAGTTTGCTCTTCATATAGTCACTCTTTATATAGGCATATCTTTTTATAAGTATACTAATTTTTAGAATAAATATATATAAAATATAAGAGATTTGATCTCTATACAGACACAATTTTTTATAAGCACAGAATTTCTTAAAACCGAGAACATAACTGTAGAGAGATTAGACTGTACTTTTAATATTTTTTAACAAAATTTTTTAAAACCTTTTATATTCTTTTTTTTAAAACTTACTACACAATATTTGACAAATAGTTTTTAAAATTTTTTAACTCATATAAACAACAATTTTTGTACATTAACCAACAAAAAGTTTACAACTTTATTAAACATTAAATTATTATCTATCTTTCTAATAAACTTAAAAAACTACTTCCAAACTCCTACCAATTTTCTATAGTTAATTTATTACAAGAAAGAACAAAGACTTTAATTAAGGTATCACTATATCATATCTACATCTGTACAAGCAACATATGCAATATTATTCTTAACAATACCCTTATACTTTTAAAATTTTAACTTCATTCTACTTTTATAACTTATTTAAACCCCATATCTATCTTTATTTAAATTTTGCTATTTTTTAGCCAAACCAATCTCTAACCACTATCTTCTCAAAACTCTTTCTATTTGATCCTTTAAAAAATTAGCTAACTCAGCAGAACAACAATTTATACAATTTAACAATACTTTTACAAATCCTAAATATAAATTTTTTTTTACTATACTTACTTAAAACACTATTTGATAGCTACTGCTAAAAATAACAATATTAACTTTAGTCTTAAAAATGCTCTTTAAAATACTTTTATTAAAACAACTAATCTATATATTTTCACTAAAATTATATCCTATTTTAATATTATACAATTTTCCAATTTACCAATTTCTCAAGTTAAATACAAATATTACTAATCTTATCTCTTACAAGCATTATCTCTTAGATTGTAGACCAACACAAACAAATTTGCCTATGTTGATACTATAAATATACTATTGATCTATTTTTTAACAATTTAGAATATTCAAATGAAATTTGATATAATAATATTTGAAAATATAGATTACTTTTTT